TTGTTTCAGTACTGGAGGCATTCCATTTTACTAAAAAAGTACAGTCATCCCTCTGTATACACAGGGGTTTGGTACAGATAAAATCCACCCATACCCTTGTCCTGCAGTTGGCCCAGTGGAACCTATGCATATGAAAAATCAGCCCTTTGTATCTGTGGGTGTTGAGTCCTGAGAATACTGTGTTTTTGATCTGTTTGCTTGCAGATGTGGAAACTGCAGATAGGGAGGGCTGACTGTACTTATTTATTTCATATTGATACATAATATTTGTACATATTTATGGGGTATATGTGATATTTTGTAATTTGTATGGAATGTGTTAATGACAAAGTCCGTATTTAGGATATCCATTATCTTGATTATTTATTATTTCTATGTTTTGGGAACATATCAAGTCCTCTCTTCTGGCTATTTTGAAATATTTAATACATAGTTAAATGGAGTCACCCTACTCTGCTATCAATCACTAGTATTTATTTCTTCTATCAACCTGGTTGTTTGTACCCATTAAACAACTCTCTTCATCCCCTTCCACGTCACCCACATTCTCTTAGTCTCTGGTATTAGTCATTCAACTCTACCTTATGAGATCAACTTTTATAGCTCCGACATATGAGTGATAATATTTGATATTTGTCTTTCTGTGCCTGGCTTAGTTCACTTTACAAAATGATTATTCCATCCTTGTTGCTGAAAATGACAGAATTTAATTCCTTTTTTATGGCTGAATAGTATTCCACATTTTCTTTATATTTCTTTAATAGTGTACCAGATTGTCTTTATCCATTTGTCCATTGATGGACACTTAGGTTTAAGTCCTTACCTTTGTAATTGTGAATAGTGCTGCAATAAACATTGAAGTGCAGGTTTCATATACTGATTTCCTTTTTATTTTGATAACTATCAAGTAGTGGGATTACTGGATTGTATGATAGTTCCATTTTTAGTTTTTTGAAAAATATTTATACTATTTTCCATCGTGGCTATACTAATTTACATTTCCACTAACAATATATAACAGTTTCCTGTTCTCCACATCTTTGTGGAGATTTTTCAAAATAGTATTTTGGTATTTTTTGTCATTTTTTAAAATAGTGGCATTCTAGCTGATGTAAAATGATACCTCATTGTGGTTTTGATTTGCATTTCCCTGATGATTAGTGATATTGAGCATTTTTCATATACTTGTTGGTCATTTGTATGCTTTCTTTTGAGAAATGTCTATTTATGTCCTTTGCCTACTTTTTAATGGGATTGTTTTCCTTGCTGAGTTTCTTGTATATTCTGGATATTAGTCCTGTGTTGGATAGATAGTTTGCAAATGTTTCCTTCCATTCAACAAATTGTTTCTTCACTCTGTTGATTATTTCCTTTGCTGTCCAGAAGCATTTTAGTTAAGTATAGTCCCATTTGTCTCTCTTTGTTTTTGTTGCCTGTGCTTTCGAGGTCTTAGCCATAAAAATCTGCCTAGACCAGTGTCATGAAGTGTTTCCCGTATGTTTTCTTCTAGTACTTTTATAGTCTTGGGTTTTACATTTAAGGCTTTAATCAATCTTGAATTGACTTTTGTATGTGGTGAGAGGTGAGGGTCCACTGTTATTCTTTTGCATATGGATATCCAATTTTCCCAGCACCATTTATTGAAGTGGGTGTCTTTTCCCCAGTGTATGTTCTTGGTGCCTTTGTGAGAAATTGGTTGGCTGTAAATATGTGGCTTTATTTCTGGGTTTTCAATTCTATTCTATAGGTGCATGTATCTTTTTCTATACTAATAAAATGCTGTGTTGGGATTGAAAGATATTTTGAAGTCAGTGTGATGCCTTCAACTTTGTTCTTTTTGCTGATAATTGTTTTGACTATTTGTGCTCTTTTTTAGTTCTACATGAAAGTTAGGATTTTTTTCTATTTATGTGAAAAATTACATTGCTATTTTGATAGGGATTGCTTTGAATCTGTAGATTTCTTTGGGTAGTATGGGCATTTTAACAATACCAATTCTTCTGATCCAAGAGAATGGAATGTCTTTCCATTTGTTAGCATCCTCTTCAGTTTCTTTCATTGGTGTTTTGTAGTTTTCTTTGGAGAGCTCTTCCACATCCCTGTTTAAATTTCTTCCTAGGTAATATATTTATTTTATAGCTACTGTAAATGGGATTACTTTCTTGATGTTCTTCTTAGCTAGTTCCTTATTGGTTTATAGAAATGCTACCGATTTTTACATGTTGATTCTATATCCTGCAGATTTACTAGATTAATCAGATCTAAGAGCTTTTTGGTGGAGTCTTTAGGTTTTTGTAGATAGCTAAGATAGCGTCATCTGCAAAGAGGGACAATTTGACTTGCTCTTTTTCAATTTGTATTCCTTTTATTTTTCTTATCTGGTTGCTCTGACTAGAACTTCCAGGACTGTATTGAAGAGGAGTGGTGAAAGTGGAGATCCTTGTCTTGTTCCAGTTCTTTAGAGGAATGTTTTTCTTTTTCTTTCTTTTTCTTTTTTTGTTTTTTGTTTTTTGTTTTTCATTTTTTTGAGATGGAGTTTCATTCTTGTTGCCCAGCTGGAGTGCAGTGGCACGGGCTTGGCTCACTGCAACCTCCGCCTCCCCAATAGCGGGATACAGGCACCCCACCCAGATATGCCCGCTTTTTTTTTTTTTTTTTTTTTTTGTATTTTTAGTAGAGATAGGTTCACCATGTTGGTCAGGCCGATCTTGAACTCCTGACCGCAGGTGATCTCCCACCCCGGCCTCCCAAAGTGCTGGGATTACAGGCATGAGCCACTGCGCTTCGCTAGAGGAATGTTTTTCTTTCCTATTTAGTAATGATGTTAGCTGGGCTTTATTTCACTTAGTTCTGCTTTCGTCTTTATTCTTTCTTTCCGACTAATGTGTATTAGGTCATTTATTTGAAACCTTACCTCCTTTTTTGATCACAAAATATTGCTATAAAGTTCTCTTTCACACTGCTTTTGCTGTATCTCATCGGTTTTGGTTATGTTGTTTTGATTTCAGTTGTTCTAAGATATTTTCTTATCCTCTTTAATTTCTTCCTTGAACAAGTGGATTGTTCCCAAGACATTTTCACATTTCCCCTTAATTTCTTCTTGAACAGGTGTCATTCAGCAGCAATGTTGTTAATTTCCATGTGTTTTTTGTTGTCTGTCATTGTTATTTCTTTTTGAATGGGGTCTCACTTCTAGTTGCCCAGTGAGGAGTCAGTTGGCAATGATCTCAGTTCACTGGCAACCTACTGCCTCCTGGGTACCAAGCAGTTCTCCTCGCACTCAGCCTCTCGAGTAGCTGAAATTACAGGTGTCGCCACACACTCATCTAATGTTTGATAATATTTAGTAAGAGAGCTTTACCATGTGTGGCCAGGGCTGGTTCCAAACTCCTGAC